CAAAGAACGTCCATCTAATGAATTGGAATAGGATGTGTTCCTAAATAAAAGAAGGGGGGTTGGGTGTGAGAAAGAGTAGGGAAAATAACTTAGCTTTGCTAACTAGACTAGGCTGGAAAGTGAAAAATAGAGAGAAAGCTCTCTGGGTTGATGTGGTANATAAAAGAAGGGGGGTTGGGTGTGAGAAAGAGTAGGGAAAATAACTTAGCTTTGCTAGTTAGACTGGGCTGGAAAGTGAAAAATAGAGAGAAAGCTCTCTGGGTTGATGTGGTAAAGCAACAAATATGTTGATCAAACTAACCTTAACTGGAATTTCAAAACTACTTGCTCATCAACTTGGAAAGCAATTGGCAAGACTAAAAATATCGTAGATCTTGGTACAAAATGGTTAATTGGGGATAGGAAACACATTAATTTCTGGACTGATTAGTGGCAATTGGAACTCCAAGAGGCAGGTATGTCTCTTCCTCACTCTATTATTCTAGAGATTTTACAATCTCCATGTCCACTATCTGTTGAGTTTCAGGATACAATTTATTTGGGGTCTCTCGAGTAATGGTAAATTCTCTACTAAGGCTGCTTTTGATCTTATTTCTCAATATGGATTGAGTGGACCCTCTTTTCTCCACTGGAACTGGGTTCAAGATTTGATNTTCTAGAGATTTTACAATCTCCATGTCCACTATCTGTTGAGTTTCAGGATACAATTTGTTTGGGGTCTCTCGAGTAATGGTAAATTCTCTACTAAGGCTGTTTTTGATCTTATTTCTCAATATGGATTGAGTGGACCCTCTTTTCTCCACTGAAACTGGGTTCAAGATTTGAACCTTCCACAAAAGATTAATCAGTTTTTGTGACTTGTTTAACATGATAGGCTCCTCACTAATAACATTAGATTTTCAAGGAACATGGTTAGTGATGCTTCTTGCACTAGATGCCACCAACTAGTTCAAACATCTTTACATGTGATTTTCGATTGCCCAAGGAGTGTGGGATTTGTTTAACTTGACCCAATGGGAGGATTCTATTCAGCTAGGTGGGTTACAGAATTGGATCTTTTTAAATTTTAAATTAAGGAAGAACAAGGACTGAAAAGGTATTAACTGGCCCATTATGTGTGCTTGTGTCTCATGGTGCATATGGAAGGATAGGAATATGAAGTGTATTGCTGGTACTGCCACTCTACATAGAGTAGTTGCTAGGGAAGCTTGGCTTCTAGCCTTGGACTCTGTCAAGGCGTTCCAGAAAATTCAAAATGAGCCTACTAATGGTTCTTCTTGTATTATTGCATGGTCCTTTCCCCATCCAGGCTAGAACAAACTGAACATTGATGGATGCTCAAAATGCAATCCTGGCCCGCCGGTGTTGGTGGAATTATCAGAAATGATCAAAGAAAATGGATTGCTGGCTTTTATAGGAAATGGAGGAATCCACCAGCTTGCAAGTTGAATTATGGGCAATTCTCCAAGGTCCAGAGCTCATGCAGAAGAGGAGCATCTCCTAAACCATTGTGGAAACTGATTCTCTCGAAGCTACTAAGATACCGGCCAAGGACTCGGAGGCCACTCAACTCAACAGGGTTGTTATTTCGCAATGTAGAAGGCTCATGGAGGTTAACCACATACCCATAATCCATACCCCTAGAGAGGACAACCAGTTTGCTGATCTGTTGGCCAATCTTGGCATCCAACAATCAAATTTTTTTGTGGAGATGGAGGATCCCCCTCTTCAGTTGGCTAATTTTTTGTTGGCAGATATGGCTAATGTTGCTTTTACTAGGAATTCTATTTAATGTTTGAATATTTTTTCCTATGTACCAAAAAAAAAAAGTGAGAAGGCATCACATATTTCATGTATGGCACACTCTGGTTGGTGGATCCAAACCGCTTTGTCTCGCTGCCAAGTCACCCAAAGTGAAAGTTTGATCCATTAAGTTATTCGATTTATTCAGGAAAAAAAAAAAGACAAAAAAACATCTTTAATTACGATTATCTTGATCTGTTAAGCAAAACATGGTCTACAACAAATTATTCAAATGCCTTGAATCATGTCCTTTCAAATTCATGTTGAGATGTTATGAGTCTACCCCGATATGTTTATTAATCATGTCACGTTTGGATACCACATGATTTAGAAACCCAGAAGTAGAAAGCCATCCTATTATGTCAATCAAACCCACCATCTATAGGCTTCCTATAAGTTAAAAATCCATTCCATCCATATGCTCCCTCTAATTTTATAAGGATTTATGTGATACCAAATAAAAAAAAAAAGCATTTTTTATACAAAATAAGCTAAACAACTTTGTCATGCCGAAATCAAATTAATAAGTATTTGATACAAATGAAATCCATTTATTATTAGTATTAACATGTCATGTTATTTCCATCGTGTTGAGAACTAGTCAAGTTTAACATCCTAATATCGTGTCAGGTTCAATAGTGTTGTGTCAAAAACTATGATCAAATTGAGATTGGTAATGCACAGTAAAAAAAAAGGAAGAATTGAACTTGAGAATGCGTGAACTCAACCGCCACCCACTGAGATGGATATCAGATGAATCTTTATCTAGCACTTCTGAATCTGATTAAATTGAACTTCTGGTAAATATTTTGGTACACAACTCTCTTTTCTTATCTATCACAAAGCCCTCACAAACAAAAAAATAAAAAAAATGCGAACAATTTCTGTTTCGATCATATGAATACAAACGCTACAAACTTAGAAATGAAAGAAACATCTGACCTCATCATGTGACATATCCATAATCACTCATCCCAATCCTGGCTATTGGAAGATCAACGAATGGTCATTTACACCTACACAGAAGGCATACTTTCAGCAAATAATGTAAAAGCTTATCAGATCACTATACATTAACTACAAAGAAGAATGATAAGGTGTCCTGTTCGAATGACATGGATGTATTAGAGTAGCAATAAATTGATCACACAAGGCAAGATTAGCGAGAACACAAACTAAACACACACAAAATGAAAGAACATCAAACCAAAAGATTCAAATTCTAAAACACCAAGCCCATAACCTCCAAAGTGTGATGCCTGTGAAGAGTACCTGAGAAAATAGCTGGATATCCAGCAATTGATGTAATACTAAATTGGAAAGACCTCNACACAAGGCAAGATTAGCGAGAACACAAACTAAACACACACAAAATGAAAGAACATCAAACCAAAAGATTCAAATTCTAAAACACCAAGCCCATAACCTCCAAAGTGTGATGCCTGTGAAGAGTACATGAGAAAATAGCTGGATATCCAGCAATTGATGTAATACTAAATTGGAAAGACCTTCATTTAATGATTTTACAGGAATTTCATGGGGGCACGTTGAACCAATAATAAGAGAACTTCTTGAACTTACTGCATTCCACTTAAAATTACATTTGGATGAATACTTAACAGTTTTTTCCAACTTATGTTTCAAAGCATGGCAATTTTCATTCCATCTTCTGGGCATCAGTAAGTTTTTTTTTTTTTTTTTTTTGAGGAAATAGAAAAACTAACACAAATTAGTAGTTTAGAAAATATTTTACATTAGAAATTTGTAAAATCAGTACTATTTCATGTTTACAACCAGTTAGCCTGAGACTTGAGTTACCTTCAGATTTATTTCATCTTACCAAGTTTTGAAATGATTGCAAAAGGAATTGAATTATCTCCAGATTCCCCACAGGGTTTAACCTAATCTCCATCTAATCTGAGTTACCAAGGGTTTACTTTACCCAAAATAGCAGATATATCCCAGCTTTTACCTTCCCCACATCACCGTCATTAGCAAGTTCAAGTTCACTATTGAAAAAGTTAACACCAACTTCAGACTTAGCACATTACCAGAATGTTCCTTCATAATTTTGGCCCATGATTCAAAAACACAGTGACCCCCCACCCCAGCGAAACCCCCTTCTCCCTCTCTCTCTCTCTCTTTCTCTCTCTCTCTCTCTCTCTAACCCTCGGTCCTAATACGCAAGGGGCCAGAACTGAGAATTGCACTTACGCCCTTCTCACCACCTGAGAAGAAGAAACATACTAACAAACAGATCTCCAGGAGATGAAATTATAATGCAGTTAGATCAACACAATATCTGCAACGTAATATATGAGGCTAAAATCCATTTACAAGAATTGTGAACNTGCACTTACGCCCTTCTCACCACCTGAGAAGAAGAAACATACTAACAAACAGATCTCCAGGAGATGAAATTATAATGCAGTTAGATCAACACAATATCTGCAACGTAACATATGAGGCTAAAATCCTTTTACAAGAATTGTGAAGTCCATATAGAAAAGGTGACTTGTAAATTTACCAATAATACAAATAAGTAAGACAACCCAAAGGACAAGAAAATTGAACCCTTTACTATTGTAGTTGTTATTCTTTCATCGTTCAAATAATTATTGAATGCTTAATTCTATAAGAAATGAAAGGATTTTGAGGCATAAGTAATCACAAAGCTAGGTGGGTTTTTGGCAGATCACAGAAACTCCAAGNATAATACAAATAAGTAAGACAACCCAAAGGACAAGAAAATTGAACCCTTTACTATTGTAGTTGTTATTCTTTCATCATTCAAATAATTATTGAATGCTTAATTCTATAAGAAATGAAAGGATTTGGAGGCATAAGTAATCACAAAGCTAGATGAGTTTTTGGCAGATCACAGAAACTCCAAATCCAACAACATAAAACCACACATAGACCAACTGAGGAAAGCAAGCAGCAAAAAATTTAGCCAACTGATTCAAGAAAAAATCCAATAAGGAGCTTCACCTCACTTAGACTGAACTGATATATAAAGGGGACACATGCTCAATCCCGAAGGCCAAGTTCAACTTCAAGCTCATCATCCTCTTCAAACAGCTTTAACAGGCGAGCATATTGCTCCTCACGTTTCTTCTTTTGCCATAATTTGAAAAGCNTAGACTGAACTGATATATAAAGGGGACACATGCTCAATCCCGAAGGCCAAGTTCAACCTCAAGCTCATCATCCTCTTCAAACAGCTTTAACAGGCGAGCATATTGCTCCTCGCGTTTCTTCTTTTGCCATAATTTGAAAAGCAAAACTGACAAGAGCACAACTATGAGAACCAGAATGCATATGATGATTACTCTGGACCCAGTGCTGCCACCAGAAGTAGCATGAGCATCATCTTTTGTTCCATTTGTAGAATTTGATGAATCTTTTGAAAAACCTGAGAAGATAAAACATTACTCAGAGAGGTTTTCAAGATGAGAAANTTTGTTCCATTTGTAGAATTTGATGAATCTTTTGAAAAACCTGAGAAGATAAAACATGACTTGAGAGGTTTTCAAGATGAGAACGAGACACTAACATTTCATTGTATGTCTGACAAAAGCTTTGAGAACACATCTCAACTCTGGCAAGATGTATAACAACCGGTTCTCTTGGAGCATAATTCAATGTGAGGCTTGTAGTTTGCCATTAGTATGATATGTGTTGTTTCCATCAATGCCAGAACATGTACATCTATTAGAGTATTCAAATAATTCCCACCATCATGTTATATATATTGGGCCTGTTTGGAGCTAGCTTNCAAAAGCTTTGAGAACACATCTCAACTCTGGCAAGATGTATAACAACCGGTTCTCTTGGAGCATAATTCAATGTGAGGCTTGTAGTTTGCCATTAGTATGACATGTGTTGTTTCCATCAATGCCAAAACATGTACATCTATTAGAGTATTCAAATAATTCCCACCATCATGTTATATATATTGGGCCTGTTTGGAGCTAGCTTTTTTAAGGTGAAAAGCTTTGCAAGAAAGTTAAAAAAGCACCCCAAAACCATTTGGGGTGTTCTTTAAAAAGATGAAAAAGTTAGAAAAGTTTATTTTGAGTGACTTTGTAGTTTTTTTGGTTTTTTGTGTCAAAATAAAAAAATAATTACATGCCCGTATAGATTATGCATAATAGTTTTCAAAATATGAATTTCAATTTTTTTTACGTTAGTAATAATATTTTATGAATATAATAAACTAAAAAATTACATGGGACCCAAGGNGAAAAGCTTTGCAAGAAAGTTAAAAAAGCACCCCAAAACCATTTGGGGTGTTCTTTAAAAAGATGAAAAAGTTAGAAAAGTTTATTTTGAGTGACTTTGTAGTTTTTTTGGTTTTTTGTGTCAAAATAAAAAAATAATTACATGCCAGTATAGATTGTGCATAATAGTTTCCAAAATATGAATTTCAATTTTTTTTACGTTAGTAATAATATTTTATGAATATAATAAACTAAAAAATTACATGGGACCCAAGACAAAAATCCAAAAAACTAGAAGAAAATCCCATAAAATCATCTTTTTGAATCAGCCTAAATAAGTCGTTTTAGGTCCAAAAAACCTGCAGCATAAGCTAGTCCAAAAACCAAGGTCCAAATGGACCTGACTTATTTTACCTAAGCCAACAAAATCAACCTATTTTAACTAGCTCCAAATAGGCCCATTAACTCTCCAGCTACTCTAAAAGCTTAAGTTGTTAGAAATGGTATAACTTAAATTTGCATATACTTGAACATGTCCTATCACATGCAAGCTAAATTTTGATCCATGCACGTGAAATTATTTAAAGAGTGTCCACGAAATTCAAACGCACGACCTCTTGCTTTTTTACCATATTTGGCAACTGTCTTTCTAAAAACTCAGGCTGTTAGGAAGAGTGCAACTTCATATTAAAGGACTTCAATAATTGAAGCTAACAACATATTGTTTAACTTGACCTGTCTTAATTTCCCAACCTTAACACAGAAACATCACCACATCCATAGGAAATTCAACAAAGCTTTATGTAATACACTAGCAATTATTAATCTTATATTACCCAAATTTTAATAAAAAAATTTCTTTCAAGGATATGACGTTTGCATTGAAAAAAATAGTGAAATCATCTATATCAAAGTAATCAACAATTACTTAACCAGAAACATATTTATAGTATTTCAACTGGCGACAAATCCCAGATCCATGATAAATTCAAAGTGGATGATTTTGAACGTGTCGATTTATCAATCTTATAATCTGGTTCCCAACTTCATACTTGACCAGAAACTAAAAAATTAAGTATACTCCTAAATGGCCTTTACGTCTCACAAGTCCAGCACACATGAAAGCACGTGGCATTGAGAGAGAGAGAGAGAGAGAAAGAGAGAGAGAGTGAGCAGGATGACTGTTGATTGACAGCGGGCTGCCTCTAATGATAGAAAATTTGTCTGTCCATAAAGCTGCTTATTGCTCCCATAGAGTCCCAAGAAGTTATATTGCCAAAGAAATGAGAAACTCCGCCGTTAACAGTCATAAGATTGATGCTTCTTTCATGTCTCTATGCCAGTAATTACGATTAGAAGCAATAAGAGTCGAACCCCCGACCCTGCCCCACCTTTTTGGATGTTATGCTAGCAGTCCGCCACAGCTAGTAGTACAACAACTTTGTTCTCTCAATAAAAATATGTTTTAAAGTTAAAAATGTTGTAGATCATCTATCTTTTCTCGTCTTCCTCCTCCCTTTACACTAACTAAGAACACTTAAACCTAACTCATTCTTCATTCACTGCTGACACTCACAATCGACAAAGTATAGAACTTTCACATAGAGAAGTCACCATCTTAAAGCCAAATGAACACTTTAAAAATTGTATTCTTTCACATCATATAAGGTCAAGATACAAATAATAAACTTACTAACCCTGATTTGATTTGATTTTAATTTTCCTTCTCACTCTCTCTCTCCCTCTCTCACTCTCTCTATGTTTTCTAGGAAACCAAACAAAAACTCCCATGTAATTCTGTAAGGGAAACATCATAGCAACAAACCCAATAGTCAAACAATGTGGCAAGTGGGGGAAAAATCATATCCGTGGAAAGAAATCAATCACAAATAATTTGCACGGAGTTTTAACTAATTCAACTAAAAAGGCTGCCACAATAAACAATTTCAAGAAAATAAACACAAACGCGAACAAATCAATCACAGGGAGAGATCTCCAATCATCACAAACTGCTCTGATTACATCCAACAAGCCCAATGCGAAGTGAATTCCAATAATTCTACAATTTCTTCGATAAATAATAAATCTAATTTATTAATAATCAAAATCTGTATTTCTTATAGGATTCTGTAAAGATCTAAAGAACAAACCTGTAATGAAGTGTAGAGAAATCGAAGAGAATAACAGAAGGAAACGCGACGATCTCGATATCGATCTCCCACTAGAGATCTCCGTCATCCCTTTTCTCTGATTTTCTCTCTCTAAAATTCTCTCCGAAATATCGCTACCTATTTTGTGTTTCTTCACAACTATGCTACCGTTTTGAATATGAAATAGAGACTATAGAGCCGCCTGTATTTCGAGTTATTTTATATCTGCCCCTTATTTTATTCTATTTTACTGTTTTTACATTCCCACCACTGTTTTATTTGTCGCATCACATTCTTTTGATTTTGATCCATGTGCCAATGTTTTTTATTTTTTTTCTCTTTCCGTAAGTTACAATGTGCCAAATGTCGATGGTTTTGGCTTATCAATATACTACCAATACCATGTGTCTNATTTCGAGTTATTTTATATCTGCCCCTTATTTTATTCTATTTTACTGTTTTTACATTTCCACCACTGTTTTATTTGTCGCATCACATTCTTTTGATTTTGATCCATGTGCCAATGTTTTTTATTTTTTTTCTCTTCCGTAAGTTACAATGTGCCAAATGTCGATGGTTTTGGCTTATCAATATACTACCAATACCATGTGTCTAAAACTCTAAAATATAGGTCAGGTGATAATAAGTAGAAATTATAAATTCAAACGTGTGTTGAGTTCAAATTTTGATAATTTGTTAGGGTCAGATCATAAGAGATTTGTTTTTTATGAATATCTTAATCTCAATATGAATGATCTGTCTTTGACTAGATCAGAGAGGGGATTTGTCGAGATACGCATAAGTTGACTCGAACATCCCTGACCATTGAACTAAAAATATATNTTTCAATATGAATGATCTGTCTTTGACTAGACCAGAGAGGGGATTAGTCAAGATACGCATAAGTTGACCCGAACATCCCTGACCATTGAACTAAAAAAATATATATATATATATATTCTACAATATCAAAAATTTAGTATTGATCATGTAATATTTTTATATTATGGATAATCCGTACCTTAAAGAACGGTGTAATATAAACCAACCCCTTATTTTGAAAAAATGAGGAGTGAAGATCTCAGAAAGAGAGAGTGAAGAGTTATGAGAGGAAGATAAAATATAATGTGAATAATTTTGAGAGGGATGTTGGTGATTACTGGATGAGTTTATTTAAGGTTGTTAAATGAACTTATTGAAGTTTATGTTATTTTATATTATAAATTTTAAATATCAATTTATTATTTTTATTTTATTCTCTTTTTTTATAATTACGGAATATAAAATAAAAATGAACAGAAAAAAATAGGAGAATTATGTGTGAATTAGTAGAGTTGTCTAGTATTAGAGAGTCTGTTGTNAGAGGGGATTAGTCAAGATACGCATAAGTTGACCCGAACATCCCTGACCATTGAACTAAAAAAATATATATATATATATATTCTACAATATCAAAAATTTAGTATTGATCATGTAATATTTTTATATTATGGATAATCCGTACCTTAAAGAACGGTGTAATATAAACCAACCCCTTATTTTGAAAAAATGAGGAGTGAAGATCTCAGAAAGAGAGAGTGAAGAGTTATGAGAGGAAGATAAAATATAATGTGAATAATTTTGAGAGGGATGTTGGTGATTACTGGATGAGTTTATTTAAGGTTGTTAAATGGACTTATTGAAGTTTATGCTATTTTATATTATAAATTTTAAATATCAATTTATTATTTTTATTTTATTCTCTTTTTTTATAATTACGAAATATAAAATAAAAATGAACAGAAAAAAATAGGAGAATTATGTGTGAATTAGTAGAATTGTCTAGTGTTGGAGAGTCTGTTGATTTAGTTGTCTAACACTGAGGGTATACAGAGAATATAATATTTTTAAGTGAAAAAAAAATTTTGGGATAAATTTTGCACTATTAAATTAAAGTAGATAAAAATAAAATTAATCTTTATCATTGCTTTATTTTTGTAAACTGAGAATTCAACTTACTAACTTTTATATTAGATATGTGATTATCAATTCTTCTTGAGAATATGACTAAGGTGACGCAGTTATTTTGTTTACGTTATTTTTTCACTTTAATATCCATTATACACACCATAGCGAAAGTCGGTATATATAATATATATTGATGGGTCAGGTTCAAAGGTCCAAATCATATTATAAGTTCAGTTTAAATAAAAAGCCTAATTAGAAGAGATTCAATAGGTCCAACTCAAAAGTGATCCACGATCCAATCAAGTTCATCAAGGTTCAAGGAANAGGTTCAAAGGTTCAAATCATATTATAAGTTCAGTTTAAATAAAAAGCCTAATTAGAAGAGATTCAATAGGTCCAACTCAAAAGTGATCCACGATCCAATCAAGCTCATCAAGGTTTAAGGAGCTACACCGCAAAGAGAAGAGGCATGGTCATCCTAACAGCCTCGTCCACACTGCCTTAAAAAGAGTTAACCCCCACATCATCTTTTGACTTGATCTTAAGAAGAGCCCCTGCAACAGTCTCATCCCATTGCGAAGATGACGTCACCTCCACAAAATTAGTCTTTTAGTTACTAGTAAACCGCCTCAATCTGTTAGGAGGCTACTATAAATTGTAAACTCCGCCAATACTTGGGGGCATCACACACAATCAAGCACACCTGTTATCACTCTCGTCTCTTTCTCTCATAGCTTGTATTTCTCTGCCCTCCCTACACTTCTCGAAGTAATAAAATATCAAAGTTATCTTAGCCCTTAATAGTAAATGTAGGTCACGTTGACCGAACCATTCTATATCTTTGTCTTGCTTGTATTTCTCTCTTACTTCTTAATTATTGCTTTAATTGTCAGTCACTTGACAGTTGGTGCATAAAATTAATTTGTGCATCATCGNTTGACTTGATCTTAAGAAGAGCCCCTGCAACAGTCTCATCCCATTGCGAAGATGACGCCACCTCCACAAAATTAGTCTTTTAGTTACTAGTAAACCACCTCAATCTGTTCGGAGGCTACTATAAATTGTAAACTCCGTCAATACTTGGAAGCATCACACACAATCAAGCACACCTGTTATCACTCTCGTCTCTTTCTCTCATAGCTTGTATTTCTCTGCCCTCCTTACACTTCTCGAAGTAATAAAATATCAAAGTTATCTTAGCCCTTCATAGTAAATGTAGGTCACATTAACCGAACTATTCTATATCTTTTGTCTTGCTTGTATTTCTCTCTTACTTCTTAATTATTGCTTTAATTATCAGTCACTTGACAGTTGGTGCATAAAATTAATTTGTGCATCATCATATAATAAAAATAAAAAACTAATTAACAACTTTTTTACAAAAAAGAAATAAGACTAATTAAACCCTTTATACTTAACAAGCAAGTTTTTTATATTTTGAAAGAATTATATGAAACCAATGTTTGAAAAAAATAATTTCTATCGGAATGGAATGAAATTTAACCAAAATGNAATTAACAACTTTTTTACAAAAAAGAAATAAGACTAATTAAACCCTTTATACTTAACAAGCAAGTTTTTTATACTTTGAAAGAATTATATGATAACTTTATTATGAAAATCATTAAAAATGTATTTTCTCGAAAGAAAAAAAAACAATCCAGTCATTAATCATTCAAATCATCTATTTGATTATGCAATCATGCCTTAGACTTTTCATCAAAATTCATCGATTGATGCAAATTCACAAATATAGATTGTACATCAACAATACAATTGTCGAACTGTTCAAAAAAATTCATCATCTTAAAATTGAATAAAATTGGGCAAATACCAATAAATTTTTTTTTTCTTTTAAATGTGTAGCTTGGGAGGCCAACCAGATGACCAACAACATGTGGCTGGGCTTATACGCCAAGGGACATGGTCCATGATGATAGTGATGGTTCATTGCAAAATACCAACGGCTAACGACTACCTAACTAACCAGTAATACTACTCGAAGATATACGTATGTTTGGTATAAATGAAACAGTAATGTTACGCTGACCAAATTTAGAGCTCAAATAAAATTATAGCATATTATTTGAAGTTTTAATTGGTGTTATGTCATTTGAATCCCAATAAAAACTTCAAATAATATGCTGTCATGTCATTGGAGCTTCAAATTTGATCCCAAAATTTTATCAGTGTAGTATTACTGTTTGACAATTTATTGGGATTGAGTGTTGGAATGGAATGCACATTCCATTCCAATTTTTGGAAAAAATAATTTCTATCGGAATGGAATGAAATTTAACCAAAATAATTTTTTTATTATAGAATTTCTTACTTAATTAACATACTCTATTACAATGAGTACTTTCGTTAATTTTAAAATTTGAAAAATATGATTAAATGTGCATTAAATAGTCACAAAGAATCAAATAATAAAAAAATTCACTGAAAAAANTACAATGAGTACTTTCGTTAATTTTAAAATTTGAAAAATATGATTAAATGTGCATTAAATAGTCACAAAGAATCAAATAATAAAAAAATTAACTGAAAAAATAATAAAAATCAATAATAGACAACAAATTGAAAAAGTAGAAAGATTTGTCTAATTCTTAATTCCTCCAACACATCAGTCAAGGCATGTGCCTCTATACTAGTAACCAATCATTTTTAAATATTATACATAAATCTTCATTAGAAGGGAAAGATTTGGCTCTGAACTTTTCTGCTCCCTTGTGGCTCTACAATTAAAATAAATACAACAAAAGCCCATCAGCTAAAGCTTTAAACTCAGAAAACATATTAATGCACTCCCCATAAAAGAAAGCTGCAGCCTAAACCACCCTACCCCACTTATTTCTCAACACCATTCCACCCCCACCAATACTAGGATTAACTCTTGAGGCACCATCAGTATTCAACTTCATAACCCCAGAATCTGGAGTCACCCACCTCAAAAGAGGGATTTAATTGAGTGTTAACCTTTCGAAAAAAAAAAATGAGTGTTAATAGTGANAGGATTAACTCTTGAGGCACCATCAGTATTCAACTTCATAACCCCAGAATCTGGAGTTACCCACCTCAAAAGAGGGATTTAATTGAGTGTTAACCTTTCGAAAAAAAAAAATGAGTGTTAATAGTGAAGCCACCCACTAATTTGAATTTCATAAGTGTTATTCATATTATCATGTATTCACTCCTTTTTTTTCT